GCTACTCCCATCGAAGATGGTTTAGTACTCTGTCTTGGAGTTCAAGTTACCGGTCGATGTGACTGAACTGGAAATCCTAGCACTTATGGGAATCACTCCACCAATGGTTCATCACAATAAACGAGATGTTATTCATAGATAGAAATGATGATTCACTGAAATAATAGCTTAGCTCCAGCCCAAAAGCCTAGATTGAGAGATGTTTTGGTACTTTGTAGAAAAAGAAGCAGAGAGAGAGAGAGTAATGCGGGCGTCAAACACTGGGATTGATCANGGAATCCAAGTCTTCCGGTTTGATTTGCTGACCGACAGCACAACGAGCCAATTGGGCAATAGGTGTCGGGGAAGTGAGGATACGAATCATTGAACCACTTAACCGGCGGGATGGAGGAGACTGATTGTCCTAATTCGTGGAAAAGAGAACCGACAAACCAGAAAACATGGAATTCAGATAATTATTTGTGGAAATCGATAAGTGTTGTACCAAGTTACTGATTTTAATCGCTTATCTGAGACAGAGTTATCAAACAAATTATTCAATAATAATTCGAAATAAAGAATTAATCCCTTAAGGTCGAGCTATATTAAATTTTTTTAAAAGACTCCGAGGACGTAGACGTCACACGTCATACCGCTAGTCTTATGCAAAAATGTTAGAGATTACTTGCTAAATGTACATCTTTCTTAATATTTTCTGTCTTTAGCAATTCCGTTTCCAAGACAAAAAAAGCAGAATTAATCAAGGGTCCGTTCCGAAATTATCAACAATCCATGAATCAGAACAAGAGGAGATTAGGAGACTTTTAGAGCCACTGGTATGTTGAATAAAAAATTGAGTAAAGACTCACCTTTGATGGATTGGGTGGGTCGAACCAGGGCGAGTGAAGAAGACACAACTTCAACGAAAGGACCAGACCGGTCAGATAGCCGAAATGACGTTCTTGAGTAGACATCCACATAAACGGATTGAACGTGGCTGTGTAAGGTGACAAGTGCGAGCAAAAGACGAGAAAAATTGTATATTTGTGTGAAAGCGCGCACGACATTACGAATGAAACAATATGACTAATTGTGGGTAATTTTCCTGAGGGATAATGGTGAGCTGTTACCTCGGAATTACAAATCTACACATCTTAAGCAATATTTTAAGCTTCTGTAAAATGATTATGCCAATCCACGTCATGAGTAATCGAAAAAACTTCGCAGTGTACACAGAACCCGATAGAGAACGGATTGGTGAACACGGTGGTGGTGGTATAGTGGTTTAATCGCTGTCACCGGTGTGCTTTGGACCTTATGGTCCGAGGTCCGAGCCCCATTACCACCACTCGACTTTGGTGGTAGGCAGCTCTGCTGTCGTCCGGTTCAATACCACGCCTAACCTATCGGGACCTTATATGATTCGCCACTCCAACTCCCAGGTTTTAGATTACTGGTTCCTATCACTGAACAGCAGGTCCTCGTGACTACGGGGTTCGCCCCATTTGTTCTCTCTCTCTCTCTCTCTGTGTGTGTGTGTGTGTAATAAATGAGAGGGAGAGAGAAATAACACATTTGACATAGCACTGATTGAGGTTGTGAGCAGACATGCTAACCGTTCACGTACTAACTTACTGTTTAGACATTTGGGACGAAAAAAAGACCGTCGCATACTTCGATGCGATGCACGGTTAAAGGGACTGCAGCTTGAATAAGGAAATCTGTGATTCGACCCCGGGGCATTGATGGTGATAGGGAACCATACAGCATGTAAGCAATTCGTTGTCTATTCCCATCGGGGTTCACCCCCTCAATTATTAAAGATTGAATGAGTGAACAACACGTCCCGGTGATTGCTCCCTCTACCGTTTAGCACAAAAGACTAGACAATTAAAAAATAAGACCTGGTCTGTGAAGATGCGCATGAAAGGCAATAAAAGGTAAGTTTGATCATTAAGAAAGAAACCACTCTTACTTCGAGTATCCATCGATTCATTTAACCGTTCAGCATTGAACGCAAGACAGCGAAGAAAACGACCCAGAAGGTTGAAATTGATACTGTCCGTGGGCTTGGAGAAGTGAAATATTGTGAGAAATGAAACATTTAACGGAAACCATAAAAACAGTAAAACTTTAAATGTGAATTTGCCACAGGATACTAAGCATCACACGTAACTCAAAGTGTAATGACATGAAAAAGCTCCTGAAAAGAGACCCGAAACTGTTTAAGCAAACCGTTATCACAATCGGACGACAAACAACTAACCACAACATGAGCTCACCTCGGGCATAACAGCCGAAATGGCGATTGCTAGCTTGTTACCTAGCTGATCTATCCAAGAATTTGTTGCAACGGTAGTGAGAAGGCAGGCTTCTTGATGAAACGCAGCAAACAGGGTATTCAGACGTTTCGCAGCTGCCAGTTCATCCTTGGCGGATAAAAACCTCTGTGAAATAGACGCGAGGCAATGGAGATAGACAGTGTGATTGAAAGGAACCGAAGGGTGAACTTCTAGAATAATCAATATCTGAACGACTGGGAAAATCATTTCTGCAAAGCTACGATTGGTTTCTTGGGTATGGCAACTAATTAGGTGTGCGTATCTGGTTATCTGAAAGCAACTAAAGACATTTTCCATAAATTCAGATACTACGTTTTCTTCAGTACTGAGCAATTAAGCTTTGGCTCCAGTTTGTTGAGGTCAGTCGCATCCGCCTTACAACAGTAATATAGATTCATCGCGACGACTTTTGTGTAAAAGGAATATCAATATAATTACTGCAAAGATCTCAATGAGAACGCGATGGAGAAAAGGTTGGATCCACCCGTATATTCACATTTACCTCAGTTACATACGAACAGTATGCCGTCGCGCTGCCTTGCGGGTAAGGCTTTGGCTAGCCGAAAGCTCCGGTTGTGGATTCCTCAAGGGAATTCACATACCTTGGCTTGGGCAACCTGGCAGAATTCAGCCCACAAGCCAATCATGGACTGTTTTCCTTTTTTTCATAGAGATTATTGTACCACGATTTGTTTGGCACACAGTCTGGCCTCAGACAAGTGTGAAATATAAAAAAATAATAAACATATGAATAGTGACGTGGGACAGGTCGCATTGGTTCGGACTGGCTATCCTAAGAATTTCATATCCACGTACAATCCTCAATCCATCCAGTCAACCACACACGTGAGAGATACCACATTCGAGTTTTGTCCACATTAAAGTTTATCCGTAGTGCATATCCACTGTTTCGTCCGGACTTTGAACTCCTGGAACCACCCAATGGAAGGCGTCAACTGTATTCTTTCGTTGTAATCGGGGACAACAAACAGNACCGCTGAACAGACTTTAGCTGGTAATTTTGATCAGCCCTGGTGCGAGTTGGTTGGCACAGTGGTGTAGCACACATGCCTTGCATGCAATGGGTCCGGATGGGACGGTGGATATACAATACTGAAGCGAAACTCGAGTTTAATGTCTCTCGAGTGTATGGTTATCTCGATGAACTGAGGATGATGTGAGAACATTAAGTCAGAAGCATGGTTCGTACAAGCTGCTATTTTATTTTGATATCATGAGTGGTTCTGTAAAAATTGTGAATGAATCACAGAATAAGTTTCAGTAATCACCGAGCAGACGGAGGATACAAACTGAAGATAGGGAAGAAGGAAAAATGGGTGGGAGGGAAATGGACGACCAAAATTTTTACACGTGACTAAAAAGTTCATCATATAAAGGCATTAAAAAGGCTAAGCTGTTATTTTTGCTACCGTTTTCGCAGGGTTTTCCAAGTCACAAAAAGAAAGCTTGATGATTAGGAATACGAACCCCGATTTCCTCAAACTATAACAGATACCGGTGTCATATATGCAGTCATTCGGCCACGCACCGATGATGATATATCCTAGTGTAACCAATCAGTAACGCTACAATTGTTCAAAACCGGTCCATTACAACTTTTCTACAGTTACTGCAGTTACCCATTGTCTAACGAATTTCTATCGCAGTGTAAATCCACGCATCTTGGAGAGTTTCATCTTAAAAACGAAACTAAAAACTGATGATAAAATAAAACTAAAATAAACACGAAAATACTTACCCGGTTGCACTTTTCCTTTCCCTCGAGTTCAGAATCATCAGTTTCGATCAACGAAATGCTATTTGGTGCAGTAGGACCGGCTATCCAGAACGGGGCGAGTAGCATAGCCTGAACTGATGTCAGATCTGGTGATGAAATCGGATCGCTCTCGCACACGCGTTGCTCGACCAAGATGAAACGCGTGAACCGGTCAGCAAGAACAGACCACAAGCGAAGCCCTTCTGGAGAGTAACACATGGTCGGGCCTGCAGAAACAAACGGTTGCAAATCGAAAACGATAGGAAAAATGTGCAGTTCTTCAAACGCCTTGGTTCTGATATCACATTAAAGATAAACCATAGATCTAATCAAAGGTTTTTTCCTCGTGGTGTGGCCACATGCAAATGAGTTCAGTTCAGTTTGTACAACCACAAACCATGCACTTTTGTGCACCGGTTTTGGTTGCTGTCATTTGGTTGCCCATTTAGATAAAAGAGCAAAATGTAGATTGGAATGTCGAAGCAAATTCAAGCGGAAGGTGGGGAATTCATTATACTCCGTCGATTGTTTGCCGCACGTGAAGAGTTCACGCGTGAGAACCAGGCTGGTTTTAGACCCGGTCGAGGTTGTATCGACCACATCTTCACTCTGCGCCAAACTCTCGAGCACCGGCATTCTTTTTGTAGTCCCACCATCTCTGTCTTCCTATATCTGAAAGCGGCTTTCGACTCAGTCGACCGCTCTAAACTCTGGCGCTGCCTTTTTCTGAAAGGTGTGCCCGAGAAGTTAATTTCAATATTACGATACCTTTATACTGAACTGTCCATCACGACGAGACTGCACCTTGACGCGGTGTGACGGCTTGCACGCCTCAGTGACCCTGCGAGCTACACAGGATGGCTTCTCACAGCCGTAGATCCAAGCATGCCTGAAAGGTCAACG